TCCAGGGTTCTGAGAAGCAACAATAACGATCTAGAGACTAAGGTGCACCTGATCCAGTCCATGATATCTGTGATTACTTGCTATGCATCAGAGAGCTGGATAATGACTAAGGATGATAGAAGAATTGAAGTCTGAGTCGTGGTGCTGGAGAAGAGTCTTGAAAATAACATGGACTGCCAAGAAAACAAATAGGTCTGTCTTGGTCTTTGGAGGCTAGGATTTTAAGTTCTATCTTACATCTTTGGGCACAAGGTCAAGAGGAGCTGATCCTTGGAAAAGGATATCATGCTTGGGAAGGGTAGAGGGACAGAGCAGGAGAGGAAGACCCTGGATAAGGTGGATTGATACAGTGATGAGGACAATGGGGCGAGGTGTGTCAGAGTCAGTGAGACTGGATTAGGACAGGGAAGGCTTCAGAGCTCTTGTACATAGGGTTGCTATGAGTAACAGGCAACTCAACAGGCCCATAACAACAATGACATATATAGATATACAGATCTATATATATAGAAGATATAGATATACAGAGAGAGAGAGAGAGAGATACCTACCAGTTAGTTGGTCAGATAAACTGTCTTCCAAATTTCTTGGCATAAATAATAAGGGCATGCTTCCAGCATTGCATCTGTTTTAACTTTTCAAGTACTAATTCATCAGTTCCAGCAGTCTTTATTTTTTTCTTTTTGGCAATGATCTCAGTGCAGCTTTGACTTCTTTCTTCAATACTGTTGATTCTTTATCACATGCTACTTCCTGATATGGTCGAAGGTTAACTTGGTGTTTTTCATACTGTTACTTGGTATACTTCCTCCCTTTTCTTTTTATTTTCCCTTCCTATACACTTAAATATTTTCCCACAGAATACTTCAATGTTGCAACTTGAAGCTTGACATTTTCCTTAAGCCATCCCATCCATAGATACGCTAAATGTACTCTCCACTTTTGGTTTTCTACCTCTAGGTCTTTGTAGGCTTTTTATAATATTTGTCTACTTGAGCAACCCTTTGAAATTTTCCATCTAGCTCTATTACTTCACCATTTCATTAATTTACTTTATCTACTCAACATTCAAAAGCAAGTTTCAAACTCTCCTCTGACATCTATTTTGGCCTTGTCTTTTTTCCTTGTAATTTTAATGCTGTTTTGTTTTCATCTCATATAATGTCTTTGATGTAAATCTTTTCAGTCTTATACGGTAATTCATGATCTTACTATGTTTATAAAAGCAGTTAAAGAACCAAAATAATATATTTTTAATCTTCTTAATAATATTTTTTTCTATGTCATTCATTTATACTTAACTTTTTTCCCCCTTATGCTCATTTTTTTATCTTTAACTTTTTGGTGCAATTATTTAAATAATTTTTAATCTTGCATGTACTCTATATTTATAGGTAGTTTTTCCTTGTAATGCATGTGTTTTTTTTCTAATTTTTCACTATGATCCATTCTTTAACTAATGAATAATTTGAGAGGGTATTTTTGTAAATTTCTAATTTTTATCATTTATGTTTCTAGGTAATTGAATGATAATAGGAAACCTAGCCTATGTAGTATCTTAATTTTGTTGAAATTTGCATCATGGTCTCAGTGAAGGGTCACCAAAGGGAATACAATACTTGCAATAGTGGAACAGTCTTAAAGACAAGAAAAGGAAGAAAGAAAGCATAGTTGCAAAAGAGAAGACTAGAAAAAGAAGAGAGAAAGTAAGAAGAAATGAGAAGTGGAAAGAAGAGAGAGAGAGAGAA